GGCGGTTGCAAAAGCATAACGGCTGTCAGTATAGATGTTGGCTACCTTCCCCTCCGCTATCTCTAGGGCCCTGGTCAGCCCTATCAGTTCCGCTCTTTGCGCAGAGGTGCCTGCCGGCAACGCCTTCCGCCACAGGACCTTATCTCCTGTGGTCACTGCTGTCCCTGCGTACCGCTGTCCATTCTTGATAAAGCTGCTCCCATCAGTAAAGAGAGTCAGGTCTGCCTTTTCGTATGCCTGATCTCTTAAGTCCGGGCGGGAGCCAGTTACCGTGTCTAAGACTTGGGTGCAGCTATGGACGATCTTGGCATCTGGTATGGGCAACAGGGTAGCTGGGTTCAGGGCAGTAGTCTTGAGGAACTGTACCGCTGGAGGGTTCAGCAGCTGTACCTGATACTGCGTCAGCCGCGCATTAGACAACCACCGGTCAGGGGGGGCCTGTAGGATCTGCTCGATATAGTGTTCTCCTATAACTTGTATGTCCTGCCCCAAGGTCAACTTGCCTGCTTCTTTAACTAGCAGCGACGTGGCCGCAATAGCTCTCAGGCAGGCTGGCCATCCTGACGCTACAGGATCAAGTTTCTTTGACAGGTAGGCTATAGGCCTCTTCCATGGGCCTAGAGTCTGACTCAAGACGCCTAGGGCCGTACCCTCCTTCTCAGCGACGTATAGCTGGAAGGGCTTGGTTAAATCGGGCAAGGCAAGGGCTGGGGCTGAGACTAAGGCCTCCTTCAAGGCCAGGAATGCTTGTCTCCCTTCCTCAGTCCACGTGAAGGAGTCCTCCTTGCCTCTGGTTAGGTCATACAAGGGTCTTGCTATGTTCGTAAACCCTAATATCCATAGTCTACAATAGCCTATAGCCCCCAGGAATTCCCGTACCTGTCTCTTGGTGGTCGGTTCGGGAATCTGTAGGACTGTCTGGATTCGTTGATTTGACAAGGCCCTCAGTCCTCCCTTCAGGTCATACCCCAGGTAACTCACAGTTTGAGTCGCGATTTGAGCCTTCTTGGCTGACACTCGGTAGCCCATTCTTTCGAGGTCTCGGAGCAGGTCTCGTGTAGCTGATTCGCATTCCTCCTGTGTCTGGGCTGCCACCAAGATGTCATCTACATACTGGAGGAGGACTATTGAAGGATGAGTTCTCCTGAACTCCTGGAGGTCTTTACTCAGGGCCTCATTAAAAATGGTTGGTGAGTTTTTGAACCCTTGGGGTAGTCTGGTCCATGTGAACTGCCCCGTTAGTCCATTATCAGGGTCATTCTATTCGAAGGCAAAAATTTCCTGACTCTGGGGGGCCAGAGGTATACAAAAGAAAGCGTCCTTTAAATCTAGAACAGAATAATAGGTATGAGTCGGGGGCAACGAGCTCAAGAGGGTATACGGGTTTGGCACAGTGGGGTGTATTGTCTCGACTCGAGCGTTTACTTCCCGCAGGTCCTGCACCGGTCGGTAATCCTGGGTCCCCGGTTTTTGGACAGGGAGAAGGGGGGTGTTCCATGCAGACTGGCATTTTCTCAGAATGCCTGCCTCTAATAGGCGTTGCAGGTGCCCCGCAATCCCCTGCCTGGCTCGTGCTGGGACAGGGTACTGTCTGATCCGGACCGGGTGGGCCGTACTGGCCAGCTGGACCAGCACTGGAGGTTGGTGGACAGCCAACCCAGGTGGGTTTGTTTCCGCCCACACCCCTGGTACTTGCGTTTGCAGTCTCTTCAGGATCCTGTTTTCCTTCTCCTCGCCGTCCGGGAGTATCGCCAGCAAGTACTCTTCGGACAGAGGGACCGTCACCTCTACACTCGTCTCCTCAAGTGTTTCTGAAGGCTTGAAGCTTATAGTGGCATGAAGTTTCTGTAACAAATCTCTCCCCAGTAACGGGTACGGACAATCTGGAATAACTAAAAAGGAGTGAGTAATAGTCCCTTGCCCCAAGTTGGTGATCCTGGCAGTTGTCCAGGGATATGCTTCGGCCTTACCCGTTGCCCCTATAATCTTTGTGGTTGCCTTTTGACTCTGCCCCCGAGGTTGCTTCAACACAGAAAATGTGGCTCCCGTGTCGACCAGGAAGTCTACTGGTTTCCCTTCGACATTCAAGGTGACCATGGGCTCCTGGGAGCCAACAAGTATAGAGCCCTGGCCCCGTCAATCTAAGGTTTGAAGCAGTACCGCAGGACTGACCTCCTTTGCCCGCAGTTTGGGGCAATCTTTCTTCCAGTGCCCCTTTTCCTTGCAGAAGGCGCATTGATCTTTGTCTACTCTTGGCCACTGGCCTTTTGACTTTCCTTTCTTTTGTTCTTTCTTCGGGTCTACCTGGGCTGCAATTAAGATTTTTGCTACCTCTTTCGCTTTTCCTATCTCTGGGTCATCTCTATTTATACTTTCTGTGCAATCTCTAAAAGCTTGCTAATATTTTCTCTTTCAAATCCTTCAATCTTCTGTAATTTCTTTCTAATGTCGGGGGCTGCCTGGGTTGCAAAAGCGATATTCAAAAGTCGCCTGTTCTCAGGGGCCTGGGGGTCTAGTGGGGTGTACACTCGGTAGGCTTCAATTAACCTTTCTAGAAAACTGGCGGGGGACTCTTCTCTCCCTTGTACTACCTCACTAACCTTATTGAAATTCGTTGGTTTCCTAGCCGCTGCCTTCACCCCCCCTCAACAGAGCCCGGCGATATTGGAGTAGTGCGTCCCTTCCCCCCGCTCGTGTTGGGGTCCCAATCTGGGGGTTGCTCAGGTAATATGTCTAATACTTCCCTCCTCCCTCCCGCGGTTTCCCCTTCTTCTCCCATAACTGCTTTAATAGCTTCTCTCATGATTCTATCTCTTTCTTCTGAAGTGAACAAAGTTTGTAAAATTTGCTGGCAATCATCCCATGTCGGCTGGTGGGTCCTAAATATGGTCTCCAACAGGGAAATTAATCCCTGTGGCTTTTCAGAAAACGGGGGATTTTGCAGTTTCCAATTGTATAGATCACTGGTTGAGAAAGGGACATATATTAGCCGCGGTGGTGCATGTAATGGGGCGTCTGGAGCCGGTGGCACCTCTCTGAGGGGTAAAATGGCGGCGCCACCTGGTTTTGGCGCGACCGTTTCCAGCAAAATGGCGGCGCCATCCTGTCTTGGCGCCAAACTTTCACCCCCATACTGAGTACCGCCGCGGGTATGGGGAGGGCTCTGGACTCTCTCCCTTTCCCCGCTCGCGGAGTCGGGCAGGGGTTGGCGATATGGGGGAGGAGCGGAAGGGACCAACAGCGGGTCCTCAGGTACTTCAGGCAAGACAGGGTATAGCTTCTTCCCTTCCCCGTCTGCCTGATCCCGTTGAGGCCGGCACCCTTTGTCTGTCTGCAGACGGGGAGCCTGCCTCGGTGTCATCGCCACGCAGATGGCCCTTCTCCTCCTCTGCCCATTGGACTGACACCGGCGTATGTAACCGGGGCGGTCAGTAGCTATGTCTACCCACACATCTATATATACCATCTGATCTGGATGGGGGGTCCCATATACTATCCGCCTGACCGCAAAAAGGAGGGGCAGATCAAAAGTCCCCTCCGTCGGCCATCCTACGTCAAAAGACGGCCATTCAATTTCACTGAAAGCTCGCAGGACTTCTGGGTCTGGCGGTGGACCCCCATAGCCTCGAGCGCGATTCTGAAAGTCAGAGAAATTTTTTAGTAAGCAGTCAAGGGCAGTGTTTGAAGTGGAGCTTCCTTGTCCCATCGCGGACGCCTTCTTCTCGCTTCTCACAGCGCCTGCGATTAGAAGGATGAGGGCTACCAATATCCCGCACAGAAACACACACCTCGCTCCTCTCCACTCAGTCCACTCACGCACAAACAGGCCGTGGCGCACTACAGTCTCTTCACTCATTCACACTTCGCTAGCGCGTTCAGTCGCGGCGCGGAACAAATACCAAAAACCAAATGAACCAAATGCGACCTAGTCGCGGGAGCAAGAGCTCCGGTTCTCGAGAGCGTCCTCTCCTTGAGAACCCCGCGGGTGGACTACCGGCGACGTCTCGCCTACCACCTCGCGGCTCAAATGAGTCTAGACTCCCAAACCAAATTCCGCGGCAAACTTACCCGGGCCTCGCAGTCTCAGTCTCCGGAGACACTCCTTAGATCTCGCTGGGGCCTCCAAATGTTGTATTCAAGTTGCGAGCGAAAGGAATCCCCGAACACTGAGAGCGGTTTGATGGTAAATTTATTGGCCAAGTTTTACCTGCGCAGGGGCGAACTTCCCGAACGAGACCGTAGTCTCGCGGCTACGCAGAGCCGCCAAAGTGGAAGTCGCGCCTGGCTTACAGACTACTGGGTTTTTATAGGGGCAGGCAAGCAAGCAAGCAAGGGATACAGAAGCAGATATGGCGGTTAGCTATCGGCTCAATCAAACTAAGGCAAAAGTTCCTGATTGGACTGCTGTTGGCGGGCAGCTGGTGTTGGCGCCTAAAAATTTCCTGGCCTTATTTGGACAGGCCTCTATATGCTAGCCTTATTTGGGCAGGCCTCTATATGCTAGCCTTATTTGGACAGGTCTCTATATGCTAGCCTTATTTGGACAGGCCTCTATATGCTAGCCTTACTCGGACAGGCCTCTACATCAACAATGCTACCAAATCGGAGGTTTAGACGGGGGGGTCTTCCCTGGAAAGAAGCGGGGAGGGGCGGGGGCTGTTAGGTGAAAGCAGTGTGAGCTCGGGGCGGGGCAGGCAGAGAGGACCGACACCTGACACCGGTATCTCAGGTTCCGGGGTGTGCTCGGCTGCTCCCGGACCCGACATCCCTTCGAGGCGTGTGCCCTGGGGATGGGTGAGACGATAGGTGCAAAGCTGGTGCCCTCACACGCCTCCGAGGCCCGGGCCGAGATCCAGCCTGCACTGGGGCCTACGCTGGTAATCTGGCACCCGGGGGAGACCTAGAGACACGCCCTGGGAAGTTGCCACGATCCGGAAAAGAACATGTGGCAACCTGTAGCAGGCCGGCCACAGTCCCAACTTCTCCCCCTCTTGGGACACATCTCGAGAGGCAAAGGGAGCTTTAAAAAACGTGGAGAAACCGCGTCTGGGCGGGGTATGCAGAGAGAGAAGCCGAAGGTTTCCGGGCTGAAATCGGTCCGTTGAAGGCCCAGGCTCACGAGTGGCCCATAGGGCTCGTGTCCACGCACGCACACTCTCTCTCTTTCACTCTCCCCGCCCCGGGCTTTTGATTAGGATAAGAGGGTGGGAGGTGCTGTCCAGTCGTGGTGACACAGGAACCCGGAACCTTGAAGCTGCAGAAACCAGCCCGACAGAGGGGACGACTTTCCTCTCCAGCCCGAGAGCCCGCGCAGGATGGGGCCGTTTCCGGCGGGGGTGAGGAGTGCGCACCTCTCCTGCCGGCGGGAGAGGTGTTCCCGGTGCACCCCAGGCCACGAGTCGCCAGCGTCCCGAAGGACTCGTCCCAGAGGCGGCCCATCCCCGACACGGAACCCGCTCGTGAAGACAGCCCACCAGGGGAGCCCAACCACGTGGACGCGAGGCTGCCGAGTAGTATCCGGAACTCCTGAGTTTGAGTAACAGGCCGGAAGGCAGCCAACGCGAGGGTCTTGCACCCTTTGTATAGGAGCCCGATACTCTGCCCGCGAGTATAAGCCCCCCCCCCCCGCCCATTCCCAGGGGCGCGGAGACCCAGTGGCACACAGCCTCTTTCCAGTGACCTCGTGGGTGGCTCTGAAAAGAGCCTTTGGATTGCGATGGAACCTGGGGTCGAGCGCGCGCTTCTTAGGCCCGCTCCCCGCGGATGCGGCGGGCCAACTGGATGTCTTTGGGCATGATGGTGACGCGCTTGGCGTGAATGGCGCACAGGTTGGTGTCCTCGAACAGGCCCACCAGGTAGGCCTCACTCGCCTCCTGCAGCGCCATGACGGCCGAGCTCTGGAAGCGCAGGTCGGTCTTGAAGTCCTGCGCGATCTCGCGCACCAGGCGCTGGAAGGGCAGTTTGCGGATCAGCAGCTCGGTCGACTTCTGGTAGCGCCGGATCTCGCGCAGCGCCACGGTGCCCGGGCGGTAGCGGTGCGGCTTCTTCACGCCGCCCGTGGCCGGCGCGCTCTTGCGAGCCGCTTTGGTGGCCAACTGCTTCCGCGGGGCCTTACCACCGGTCGACTTGCGCGCGGTCTGCTTAGTGCGGGCCATGGCGAACTGCACAACACGGCGGCCGGGACGGTATCGCTCCCGGACCCGCAACAGCCGTCTTTATAGGCACAGTCTTTTCCCTATTGGGCGGGGCGATAAAATTGAAAGTCCCGCGCTGGCTACCCATTGGCTGTGACGTAATCTTCCCTGGCGTGCCCGATTGGCTGGGGCAGAATGTTTCCTGCCCCCCCAGACCCCCGCCTCCCTGTCTACTTTCCAGTATATGCCCACAGTTCTTCCTACGTGGTTTTTTTTGTCCTTGGTGTTTTTTTTTTCGTTTGTCTCTTATAAACATATTTGTGTATACACACACGCATATATATATATATATATATATATTTTTAATTTTTTATTTATTTTTTTTAATCGCAACTGTTCAGAATGTTCCTCCACAGCCCTTCACTCCCTAAGTCAGGCCAGCCGCCATGCCCTCTCTTCTTTTCCACGCCCCGTAGCTCCCCAATCTCCGACGTGGCCCCCGCCCCCCCGGTGACCTTGTTGGCTTTTCAGAGCCCCTTAGTCGGTCTGAAGGTCCACTTTTCCCGCCTTTCGGATCGGAAAATTGTCCCCGCCCCGGGCCCGAGATCCCGGCTGAGAACGCCTAAGTGGGGTCCCCTTATCTCTGGCTTCTAAAAAAAAAAACCCAAAACCCACCAAGGTCAGAAGAAAACCGGCTCAGTTAGGCCAGGCCCCAGGCTCGCCAGAATCCCGAAAAGCCGCCTGCTCCCCTCCCCCTAGGTCTCAAGTGCCGGGCGGAGGCCTCAGGGGGTAAACTGGGGAGTTGCGCGCTCAGCGCAGACTGAGGTGAAAGCACTAGGGGCCGCCTAACAGGACTTGGTAGCTAACAGTCCGCTTAGTAACGGGCGGCGCCCGAGGGGTTTTGTTGCGTCCACCTGCGTTGAGGCTTACGGCCCGGCCCACTCAGCCCAATCAGGGTGGCGGAGCGCTACTCAACATCTCTGGGCGGTTGGGAGCCGAAGGCAAATGGCATTCCTAGCACCGCACACGGGTGGGGACGGCGCTTACTACCGCGACAAGTGGCGTTGTCAAGCAGCTGGCTACTGTCAACAGCTCTTTTATTTGAAAGAGTGGGTGGCTCTGAAAAGAGCCTTTTGATTTCACAAGTACTGCCTCTTCGAAACGGGGGGCTGGGTGGGCGCCAAGCGCCGGCCTCACTTGCCCTTTGCCTTGTGGTGACTCTCCGTCTTCTTAGGCAGCAGCACGGCCTGGATGTTAGGCAAAACGCCGCCCTGGGCGATGGTCACTTTGCCCAGCAGCTTATTCAACTCCTCGTCGTTGCGGATGGCCAGCTGAAGATGACGAGGGATGATGCGCGTCTTCTTGTTGTCTCGGGCGGCGTTACCCGCCAGCTCCAGGATCTCGGCGGTCAGGTACTCCAGCACGGCCGCCATGTACACGGGCGCGCCGGCCCCCACCCGCTCGGCGTAGTTGCCTTTGCGCAGCAGCCGGTGCACACGCCCCACGGGGAACTGCAGACCAGCGCGGGAAGAGCGGGACTTGGCCTTAGCGCGGGCCTTGCCTCCCTGTTTGCCACGACCAGACATGACGGCGCTGGGCACTGCGAGTAGCTCCCCGACCGACGACCGAGAAAGTCGCCCTAAACCGCCCCGCTTCAGCTTTTTATAGGCAGAACGCCGATTGTCCATCGAGCGCTTTGATTGGCCCCAGCGCAGCTTTGTGCCGACGGCCAATAAGAGAGCGCAGGGAGAATCCGCTCATTTGCATGAAGCCTCCCCCACCCCCTCGCAGGAGCGCCGCTGGAAACTCACCAATCACAATGCAGCGTACTCGGAGCCTTAATTTGCATACATCCTCTATAAGTCCCGAGTCGCTTCCGGTAGCCTCGCTCCTGCTGTTGTCGTGTTTGCGTTCCTGCTCTTTTTCTCTGCTCGCGCGTCCCGCCCGCTATGCCTGAGCCGGCCAAGTCCGCTCCCGCGCCCAAGAAGGGGTCGAAGAAGGCCGTCACCAAAGCCCAGAAGAAGGATGGCAAGAAGCGCAAGCGCAGTCGGAAGGAGAGCTATTCCATCTACGTGTACAAGGTGCTCAAGCAGGTGCACCCCGACACGGGCATCTCGTCCAAGGCCATGGGCATCATGAACTCCTTCGTCAACGACATCTTCGAGCGCATCGCCGGCGAAGCGTCCCGCCTGGCGCATTACAACAAGCGCTCCACCATCACCTCCCGGGAGATCCAGACGGCCGTGCGCCTCCTGCTGCCCGGCGAGCTGGCCAAGCACGCCGTGTCCGAGGGCACCAAGGCCGTCACCAAGTACACCAGCTCCAAGTGAGCCCCTCCCGGGACGCGGCGCTCGCCCGAGTCGCCGGCCGCTTGACCCCCAAAGGCTCTTTTCAGAGCCACCTACCTTCTCAGCAAAAGAGCTCGTGCCACTCGTCTTACTCCCACGCCTCCACCCTGCTTCCCCGTGCCACCTACCCCCCGTTCGTTTCCCGGTGGAAATGTGGTCTCTTCAGGGGCACGGGTGAGGTAGGTGCCCCTGAAGCAGAAGGCCAGTTGTACTTAGCTTGCCGGACAGCTACCTAGAAGGGCGTGTCCATTCGCGGCCAAGTGAACTGCCTCCACAGTACCAACGTCTAACGGTGCCTGGTCCTCAACCTATTGAAGGCCATCTAATGGAGGGGTAGTGGGCCGGGAGGCAGGGTTGGCTCTGTGCCACTTAGGTCAGGTCAGTGCTTTGGAACCCACTCTTTCCTTGGGCTCTGGAAGCTTTGTTACGAAATGCTACTGGAAAACTGCAAAGCAATACTCGAGGCCATGCCTCAACACCCACAGCAAACTTTTCCGGTGTGCCCCGATACCTTGATTCCATGCTCAAAGTGAGTTTTACTTACTCTTCCTGTCTGTCTCGGTTTCGCATTCCTTTCGGGTACACAATTCAATACACGCGATTGCTCTGCTTCGACAAGTGAACTGCTGTCACATTAAGGTAATAGAAAGGCTACTGTTTCTAATCCTTCCCCCCGCCCCCGCCGCCCCCCCCCCCACCACACATACACACTCGGTCCTCGATACCTACACAGTCCCCCATACTTGTAGGGTTTGTTGCTTTCTGTTTTGTTTTTTTCTTTTTCTGTTGTAACAATCTAGATTAGGAAGTCAGGAGGGAACGGGAATTCCTAGGTGTTCAGGGACTTCATGGACCTGTGTCGGCTTGTCCTAAAACGTCCTCCAGAGACTTCCAACAGCAGTTTTTAATCTTAACACTACTCGGCCTGAAAAACATTTGTCCCTTGCCTGGAACGGTTCATCCTCTCTGCAAAAATAGAGGCACCAGACATACGAGAGCAATACCGAGGCCCTCTCCGTTTTTGAGACTAGTCGGCTCCAAAGAAGTGTTTCCTAAAACGGTTCAAAGGCGATTAGACCCTGAACCAGACAACGTTTCCACGAAAACCCCGAGGACAGCCACCGAATCCCACATCACTGGGGCACCGGTGGTGAGAGGCAAGGATGACGGACCTATGGAACACAGCAGGTGACTCAGGGTCCGCAACCGCTGGCGCGTTGCTTTGGCAGTTGCCATATTCCTTGGGAGGATCCCCTTCACGGTTTTGAGTCACGACCCCAGACATTTTCTTGCCCTTTTTCCTAACTGTCCTTTCCCAGAATTGTTTGGAAGGCTACATACACACAAAATTAGCTGCACTTCCCCTTCATTCCTTCATTAATTCAGGGCACCAAATATACTACTTTACATTTCTACCCTTATTAGAGTTCAAGAACATTTTCAAGAGGTCAAATGAGAGCAGAAGGTAAAGCACAAAATAAAGACATAAAACTGAAACTCCCTACCGAAAAAGAAAAAGAAAGAAAGACGGTAAGCACACTGCAGCAAGGTCCTAGCTCATCCCCTGGCTTTGGCTCTTGTTTGTGTGTTTCTTACGTACCTACGCAAAACCCCAAATATTATCTCCCGGCATGATTTCCCGTACTTGCTGTCTACTCCACCCAATCAAGTACAGATAACGTATTTCCTAGTTACTGTGCTAAACCTGTCCCTTCTCCCCGGTGCTTTGTCCCGGGCCCCAGGAAACGCCTCCCTGCTTTTTTGCACATCTCGAAATGAGGCCGATAACTGGCCTCAGGAAAAGCATGGAGATGGGAGAGGAGGAAGAGGGGGGCAAAAAAAAAAAAAAAAATAGGGGAGAGATTGCGTTTACAGAGTAGGAATATAACAAAAAATACACATGAAAAATAAAGGAAAGAAACCGACCAAACGCGCACGTCCGCATGTGCCTTCACACTCCAGTGCGCGCACGCGCGCGCACACGCACAGAGCTTAAGAGGCCGTGTCAACAACCAAATGTGCTGGGGAGGAAGTAGTCAATATCTGGTTCTGAGGACTCTCAAATATATGAGTAGCAAAGCAGAAAACAGCGAATCTTGCACTGACAGTGGGGATGTAACTAAATTACATCAATTACGTCAAGCAATAGTTCCATTCAGCACCCGACCTTTACACTTACACGTTTCAAAGCAAAACTGACACCCTGTTCTGGCTCTGTGATGAGTATTTGTGCACATTGCTTCCCGCAACAAGGGAGAGATTTAAAACAAACAAACAAACAAAAAAACCCCACCCTTTTGTACCCTGAGATAAATAAAATCTCGCTGGGGATATAGCAGTAAACAGAATAGACAAGGTCCCTGTCCACATAAAGCCACGTACATCCTGGTAGATGGACGCTGAAATAAGCAAATGAAAGAAATGTATAACAATGATATTAAGGGGGTGATGCGTGTTATGATGGAAAGCAGACTGTGGAGCGCAGCGTGGATGACAGGTCCAATCAGTATTTGAGCAGAGGCCCGAGTAAAGTACCATAGCGAGCCATAGGATAGCCTGGAGAAGAGTATTCCCACCCCGCCCCCGCCACCACCACCACCACCAAAAAAAGCCAGCAAGTTGCAAAGGCCCTGAGGCAGGCAAAAGGTTGGGCAGTTCAAGGAATATACAAGGCTTCTGCGGCTAAAGTACAGTGAGGAAAGGAAAGATTCACAGAGACATGACATCAGAGCCGTAGTTGGTCACGCAGGCCATCGAAGGATCTCATAGGCCACTGCAAACAGTTTAGCTTTTATTCTCGATAACTTGGAGTGCCTCTGGAGACACTCCAAACCGGTTGGAGTAATGACATGATTTGACTCACATTTTCGAGAGCTCGACCGAGATGCTGCGTTAAAAAGGACACTAGGAGAGCGAGAGTAGAGGCAGAAAATGTATCAAAGAGGCCACAGTAACAGCATTTCGAGAGAGAGAGAGCTGGTAGCAGTGGAGACGGTGAGAAGTCGTCAAGCCTGGGAAAGCCTGGGAAATTGGTCGCTCATTTTGAAAA